TGTTTTTGGACCATTTGACAAAAGTATATTATGACATAGAATTTTGAAAGTTATGTGCAAGACATTCATTTTCACACATCTTTGGTGTTTTGAAGTGTTACAATTTCAGTCTTGATTGGTACTCCGTATTACAGTGAAGTTTACGTTCTGACTATGTTGGAGCAGAAAGGCCTCGTTTCCATATCCTTCCCCTATACCTCTCCCCAAATGTGCTATATATACAACCATTACCAGACCACAATCACTCTAGATTTGTAGACATGTTAACACGTTTGTGAATTGAAATATATTCTGTTAAATTTATTCCAGGGTATTGACTTGGGAAGATGCTTTCTACAATAATCACTCTAAATTTGATTCTTCGGAGAATAAAAGCTTTGGTGAAGTATTTGAAAGCTTGCATGATGGGCATGTTGCTCATGATCCTGTTGGCCTGGCCGTGGCAAAGATGTCTTACCATGTTTATTCTCTTGGGGAAGGGTAAGTTTTGCCAGATATAAGGAGTCCTTATAATGATTTGTTCTTCGGAATTTTCTTGTGTGTAAATTCGTTTAACATAATTTCTTGAACAGAATTGTTGGCCAGGTGGCTGTTACAGGGAAGCATCGTTGGATTTTTGCTGGTGAACAGGCAACGAGTTCCTGCACACCACCAGAGGTGTGTTGCCACTCATGAATGGTAATTTGTCTTTATCAGATTGTTTTATATTAATCCCCACTTATTCCCTTTTGTATATGTTGTTTCTGTACCCAGCTCTGTGATGGATGGCAAGCTCAGTTTGCAGCTGGGATTAAGGTATGCCTGATCTGAGGTTATTTAAATAGTTTTTCCTGTTTCTGTATTATGTTGGGTACGGACTTTCTTTTTAGATCAATGACCAGTGATATTTTAAAGTGCAAATAACATATATTTACTGGATTGAACAGTTTGCTTAATTTAAACTTCATTCTTCTGCAGACCATTGTCGTCGCACCTGTTGGTCCACTGGGAGTTGTACAACTTGGCTCCCTGAACAAGGTGAGATATTTATTTTTGAATTTGTTAATTTTGTTTTATCAAAATAGTTGCAATCATTCAATTTTAAATGTCCTTAGACTCCTTACCTTTTTTTTTTTTGATAAATAGACTCCTTACCATAAATATAAACATGCACTGTAGTTCAGGAAATTAGAAAGTTTAACCCTCTAGAATTAATGAAATGACTAATCTTGCTTGCATAATAATCCAGTATGCTGAATAATTTTTTCTAAATGAGCTTGTTGCCCTAGACAGGTCCATATGAACCAAAAAGGGTTAAACTTGTTGCTTTGTTAGAAGTGGTATTTCCCTTTAAATCTCATAGACTCATGAAAGTAGTACTTCTAATCAATGTGGGAATGCGCTTGGGATATTATAAACAAACATGGTCAGGATGAGTTTGTTTCACTAATTTTTCTGTATACTCCAAGGACTCGTATGCTTGGCCGTAATAATAGTGAGTTTATATGTAATTTTGCAAGGAAGACCCCATCACAATGTACAATTTTTTTTTTCTTCCAAAATTTTCATTACCACCGATAATCAGTGGTAATGGAGGTTTTTAAAACAATAAGACTTGGAGATACTTGGGGATTAAGTTGGCATTCTATGGCCACTTGCATGGAACTTTCCTTGAGATAATGGGTGCAAAATCATTACCAATACTACTAATTATTACTGCCTAAAAATAAACGAAATTGTATCAATCACTGTTTACATGTTTCAGACCAACACTTTAGATGCTATCATGTTTATGTTAAAAGAGCTATAAATGTGAGGATGATGCTATTAGCAAATGACGACATCTCTGTTTTTATTTGCTAATAGCTTCGTAGCTCACAGTCTAGTATACCCGCAGCATCTTCCTTGATAGAACTTAGCCTATACTTCTACGTTACAAACTTCTTCATTTGTTGCAAGGTAGCTAATGTTTTAGGGTGCATCTAAGATGATATTGAAAACTTGGCTCTTCCTCCCATTAGAGTTTCAATGGAAGCTATAACTATTCCAACGTCCCACCTCTTCAGAAATCAGCAGTTAAAGACATAAATTACTAAGAAATGGAGTAGTATCATCATAACTTATCAAATACATTTTGGATATTTACAAGTCACTCATGGACAGAGATTAACGGAAGTTTAGATATATATCTTGGATATATGTGATTGCATATTCTTTAAGGGTTTTGGTCCGCCGGGTAGGGGAAAAGAGAGGGAAGGGGGATTGCTAGCTTGTGTAAATGTGAAGATTGTCAAGATGATAATTTCAGCTTCTTGAATGACAATTTATGTCTTCTAAACTTTGGTATCTTTTATGGGTGTAGGTCAATAAAAAGATGCAGTTGTTGACGCATATTAGATACGTATTTTCTTCTCTTCAAGAGTCAGCATGCCATATCCAGACTCCAATACAAAGCAGTCTGCAGAATGTGTTGCAGATGGTATGAGGCTCTCTTCCCCCTTCCGCATCTATAATATTTTACTTTTTACACATCTTGAACTTAGCTATCTTCTTTACAGTCGGATATACCTGTGAGAACTTTTGGTTCAGATGTCCTTCAAGAGTGTGTACTTGATCTTGATAAAACTGCACATAATGACAACACTTCTTCCCATTCTCTTGGTATTCAATCTCCCAAGAGACGCCTTGTTGATTCTTTTGGGGGATCTTTGTCTGTTGTGCATCTTAGCGAGGCAGTGGAATTGATGAGGAAAAATAGACTTATTCAATCAATATCTGAAAATCAGCAATCTACTGATCTGCTTAATGACATTAGCTGCGAAAGTAACGGTTATAAGATCCAAAATGGAGTTACTAGTACTGCACGACAAATTTGTGCATCCTCTCAAAGTTGCCTTACAGAAAATAGCTCTTTATACGATGCTAAAGTTTCAGCTGAAAAGTCCAGAGTTCGCTTAGACGGCAGAGACCATCCTTCTGAGGAAATAGTTCAAAAACAGGTAGCTTCTGACCCCTTGGAAAAACTTAAGGTGGAGGATATTTTGGAGAATCAACCAGAATTTAGTTGCCGGGATGCTCTAGGCAACTTCAAGTCACCCGTCACGTTCTCTGCTGGAACTGAGCTCCATGAAGCTTTAGGACCTGCTTTTCTAAAACAGTGCTACCCTTGGTCTTGGGAATCTGAAAATCCAGAAGGGCTAGCTTCTCAAATGCCAGAGACTATGGAAAGCAGCTTAATTACATCAGATTCTGGGACAGATCATCTTTTAGAAGCGGTTGTAGCTAATTTTTGCCGTAAGGATGCTGCTTTTAAGAGCGCAAAGTCACTTTCTACATCCGAATCTATGTTAACAACTGAAAAAATGCCAGAGCCATCTATTAATAATAGCCATACGATTGGTTCATCATCGTATTACTCAATTGGCTGCTCATCGCTTCTAGAGGAAAGTACACAGAACTGCTTGAACTCTTCAGAATCCTGTAGCATTAGGTCTTCAACTAGTTCATACAGAGAGCCAATGGCGAGGCCAGCTGACCAGGGTAAGGCTAACAAGAAGAGAGCAAGACCTGGTGAAAGTTCTAGGCCTCGGCCAAGAGATAGGCAGCTTATTCAAGATCGGATTAAAGAGCTTCGAGAGCTTGTGCCCAATGGAGCAAAGGTATGTCTCCTTTGGCGCAATTGTGCAAAGTGGTGCTTGTAGATGGAAAACTTCTACATATATTGATATGTTCGCTTTTAATTGTGCAGTGCAGCATTGATTCACTGCTGGAGCGGACGATCAAGCATATGGTGTTCATGCAGAGTGTCACAAAGCATTCTGACAAGCTCAGTAATTGTGTTAAATCTAGGGTAAGAACAAACTACCATAGCCTCTTGTGTGTATATTTTCCTCACATTTAATCATGTCACTGTTCAGTAAAATCTGAAGATGCTGTGTTCTATACATGATCAAACTAAATGCTCAAATAAAGCGGAAATTGTGTGGTGTCAACCTGACTATATATTCCAAGAGTTTTGAACATTATACCATCTATTTGAATGTGTAGGGTTGCAGTAATGAAATGGGAGCTCTAGGATCTAATCAAGAGCAAGGTTCAAGCTGGGTCGTGGAGGTCGGAGGCCATATGAAAATATGCCCAATTGTGGTTGAAAACCTCAACATGAATGGGCAAATGCTAATAGAGGTTTGTGTGTCATCGCTGTGCTGATTTCATTATTTCCAAATCTGTAATATCCTCTTGTGCCTTATAGTTTACTTTTTTGTACCTACAGATGTTGTGTGAGGATTGTGATCATTTTCTGGAGATAGCAGAAGCTATTAGAAGCTTGGGTCTGACTATTCTGAAAGGCATGACTGACAATCACGGAGACAAAACATGGATGCGTTTTGTGGTTGAGGTAAATTCTGAATGCAGATCCATTATCTGCCTTGAAACTTCTTCCCTGATTTTATAATCCTTGTATTCGGCTTGTCTTTTTCTGAGCTCTCTATATCAAACTTTACATATCCTTGAATTGTTTCCAAGTGAAGCAAATTTGTATATTTTTGTCGCATTTTCTAATTAATTTTTAAATGTATTACATTGCAGAGTCAGAGCAATAGGAACTTGCATAGGATGGATGTCTTGTGGTCACTTGTTCAGCTACTTCAATCAAAAAATACTGTCTAATGACTGTTGCCAGCAACTTCAATTTCAGCGCTTTCTTTGAGGTTCTGTGAGTTGTTTTGTGATGTTTTATGATGACCACCTTGTTTAAATTTAGTGTTTTATGGTTGAGTGATTTGGGTTTGCTTGCTCCCTTTAATTATATATAGTGTGCCAGAGAAAAGAAACCCTGAAATTCTACAGAAATGGGTCTTTTCCACTTTTATGTTGTGTTTTTCACCCCAAGTTGTAAGTTTTCTTGAGCTTGAAACACTTTTTAATGAATCATAAGTGTGCATTTATATTCTGCAATGCTCTACTCTTTCTATCCTTGCGTCTTTAAGCTTTACATAAGAAATCTTGAAATGTCTTTTATTTGGAATCTACCATTATTTGATGTGTAACCATAACAAGAGAAACAAAGGAACTAGGACATTACTGGGACTGCTGTAAGATTTGTGAGTTCATCTCAGTTCAAAATGAGGAAGAGCTGGCTGCCCATCAAGCCCGTTGGTCCTATAATAGGCTAGATATTCGGTGGAACTTGTTCCCCTGTACAAGGGTGGGTTGATGTCTGAGAGAAACTCCTCTATTGGTCGGTATATCTCATTTTTCTTCTTGGTGCTTGGATAGAAGAAACACGCAGCTGATGCCCTTGGACAGTTTTTCCTTAGACGTACTCTGTGTTCAACACTTCTGAACTTGGCATTTGTGATCAGCTGCATTAGTCAAAAAACATATGAACTTAGACTGTACTCCAGTTATGATAGTTTATATTGGGAGAGAATCAGAGAGGAGCTAAATACAAACTGGTATAACAGAACCTCAATGGCTCTCTATGTCAATGCCGGGTTGTCAACCTAAATTTGAAAGTATCAAGATGAAAATCACTTGATCTTTTGAAATTCTGTACTTCAGGCTTAAGAACGATTATATATCATTATTCACCATACCAGCCTAGCTACTTGGCCAACAATAGAGAGTACATAGTACCTGCATTAGTACCTGCATTAAGTCTCCAAGATGGACTATTAAAGCTCCTGGCCTAGGTTGAATGTCAATCCATTGCTCTCGATGGAGGACTTGGAGGCCACCAGTGTTGTCTTGCAGGAGAATTGTCATGAAAGATGGATCGCAATGCTTTGTTGCACCTAAGGTTAGGTGTGGTTCTGGGCATGCAGGATAGTAGTGGCATACCAAGTTTGCAGTTTCCATACATTCAATCTTGGCCAAGTAGTCCTTTTGAAGTCCTAAAGCCGCTGAAAGTATTTCAGAGAGCTTTTTCTTGAGTCTTAATATGTTTTCCATGTACTTGGTTATTGCTTCCCTGCAAAATACTCGAAGCAGTTTTAGTTACTGTTAGTTTAGCAGATATGGACATTGTTTATGGTTAAAAACAATTACTCCTCTCGTAAGGAGTTAATAGTTGCGTTGATCATATATTTCTGTAATTTAGAATGTTCTTCTGACAACTAGTTCTAGATCGAGGTGATAAAATAGTGAAACAGAGAATTTTAGTCTTGTGTTATGTTTTCCTATTAGTAGGATAAATGACAGAGAAAGAGGAGCTGAGCAGTATAACCTGCAAACAAGAGGCACTTCTTCAGGGTTCAGATCACCATTCTGGTAGTCACAGCTTATTGAATCCCTCCAATTAGCAACTCTTGATTCCAAAAGATTTCCATTGCTGTAGTACTTCACCTTGTGCTTGACATCGCGCCCGTAGAACCTTGTTTTCTCGCATGTGGGCTGTTCATGGAACCTCCGAATGCCTTTCAACAATTCCGCCATGACTTCTGATGAGATCCCATGGTTAATGAGCTGGAAAAAGCCCCATGTTTGAGCAGCCTCGCGTATTTCTTCCAATATCTCTGAATTCTCCCTGTATCCATCATCACCAAAGTCTATCACCGGAAACTCAACCAAATGGGATACATCAGAATTTGATGAAATGTTTTCTGGTGGGTGAATGAAGATTCGTGGTATGGTCAATAGACCAGAGTCTGTGAGCCCTTTAACTCCGGCCTTTGTTTCATCGAATTCTTCGACCTCTTTTGCTCGGTCGTAGAGGTGTTCATGGATGGGTTTGGCTGCTTTTGCCATGGAAATGAGTTTTGTAGAAGAAAACAAAGTTCTTGGGTGTTTCTATTAAGTTATGCAAGAGAAAAAGATGAAGACAAAGGCTACCTCTTTACCTTGGATTGTGAAATTTATCAACACATTTAAAGTAACAAGTTTTTGGACAAAAGACCAAAACATGAGCTGAGGTACTCAACTTGGCATTTTCTCACTAAGGACTCAACTATTAATCCCATTAAGAAATACTATATATTCTGCCACATTACTTATATGTTTGTTTATTCCAATAATTTAAGCACTAATGATATGGACACATAACCAAAAACATGATATGAGAAAATGTAACCTATAGTAAAAAACTATTCCATAAAAAAAAGGCCATGGTTATGTTTATCAACACAACACTAACTTTTAAATCATTTTTATTAGTGTTTAATAATATATAGATGGTCAAACTCATATTGACATTTGTGTCAAATTTAACCGTGTCAATTATTATGAAACTAATAGTGTATAAAGTTATTAGATAAGACTCGATGAAACCAATAAATTAAAAGGGTGATATTTTACATTATTGTTACTCTGTTAGAGCCAAGGTCAATCACTTATTATACATTGTGAGATTTGAGTTTTATTTTGTTACATAACAAAAGAAAGATTTGTTTTGTGTCTTATCTATAGTACGTACATGATAATGTTTCGCTCAAAATTAGTAGATTAAACAATAAATGTGTAAATGTTGAATAGGGTTTGAGTCGGGATTTGACGGGTTGTTGCAGTTTAATGTAGCTAGTTAAAAGAGAAAAAGAAAGAATAGTGATTAGAAGAATATTGTAACTGTTTGAGTATATTTTTTTTATATATATATACTAATTTGCATGTGACTTGCCTAAGATATTGAAGTCTTTCAATAAGATATAAACTTTGGTTACGTTCACTTTCATTCAAGTGGTTAGACACTTGTGTAGCAAATATCAAGAACTATATAATGCTTGGAAAATGATTTGTTGAATTATTTTAACTAAATTAGGTTGCAAAAAACAATATAGGTTGCATGTACATTAGAAGATAATACAACATATGGGAATGTAACAAAGCCAAAAGCCCAAAACAAATAAAATCAAAGACTTGTTCTTTTATTTGTCTTGTTCATCTAAATACTATTTTTAACATGAGATAGGTCTCATTTGGTGTGACATTGATATAATGATATTAATGCAAAGGAATGGGAGCCAAAACTAGTGCTTTTGCTTCTTTTGTTTTGTAGTAGTAAAAAAAAACATATTTCCAAGTAAGATTTAAAAAAATAAATAAAAAAAATAAAAAAAAATAAAAAAATAAAATAAAATTGAACTGTAAAGGTTCGTTCAATAATTTCTATAAAAAGGCAACTTGATAGGTTTATATTTCATCTAATTTAATCTTAGTTCAACAAAAAGCTATAATAGTTTTTAAAAGTGAGATAAAAAATTATGTGCTCTTATTAATTACACGTATCCAATTAGTTTGTTTCAAAAAAAAAAAAAAAAAAAATTATCCAATTAGTTAAACAGAAAGCAATATAAATTACAAAAGTACTCGTAAGAATTACTCTTTGAATATTTGACTCGATTTTTTTTTTTTTTTTTTCTTACCTTCTTGAATAATTTGTGTCAATAAAAAAAGTCATGATTTTGTTTTCTAACATTTTATATTCCAAAAGCTTGAAGGCAATGGCCCATTTTTTAAAGCAAAAAAAGTTTATCTTGCAACAATAGCTAGTTTTCAGTTGTATGGCCATTCCAATAAAAAAAAAGGGTGGATAATTAATTAGTGAATTTCTCGAATATATGCAAAGGTAAATTTATTTAATATATCCTCTTTGATACCAAAAATTCAAAATATTTAAATAATTTTGCTCTTTTTTTTTAATCAAATTTTATTTAAAAGCTTTATTTGGAATGAAATTCTGTATACAAGTGTCATTTGACTGCATAAAGAACCAAATCATATCGGTTCAAAATCTTTAAAGCACACATGTTAACTTGGCTTGCTAAGATTATGTATTTTTCGAGCAAGCTAACATAGTTTATTGTAAGATAGATCACAGATGATTTTCTTATAAAATGTAGCGTGACTTTTGAAGTTAACCAAAGAATATAGAATGACTTTCATTGAGAAAATTCTGAGTGACATTTTGTAAGATGCTATACGTGTGCGCACGTGTGTGTGTGTGTGCTCGTACATACAGGTAGGTTTATAGTGACACCAGGAATGTGTTCTTTTATGCAACAGTTGAAGCTTTGCCCACATGATTATTATCAAATGGCTAGTTTGTCTTTGATATATAGAGCTTGAGAATCGATTAGCTTGTCTGTACGACAGTACGAGTCATCTGCTGTAAGTAACAACTAACAGCAGCTGTAACCAAATTTTGATTGATTTCTCTTCAAGGCTTCCACAGATAGAGGAGATTTGTATATGGAGAACAAATTCCTGCATCATTTTCTGGTAAAAGAATTATCACAGTAGTTTTGAGTTTTATCTTATTTAATGACTTTTGGTTCAATGAAAGTCGCATGAACAATGGAGACTTTTGATGAAATGAAGAGTCCGGGTAACATAGGTTATAAATGACAGCCAAGTAAAGAAGCGTGTACTTAAAGCATACATAGATGTTGTGCTACTAGTGGCCTCCTGCATTCAGAAGAGCAGAAGTGCAGAACACAGTATACTGATTATAAGAACCAGGTTATATAATAGCTTGCAAAATGGGTGAAGAGAAACATATTACATTGATACAGAAAACAAACCGAGCCCACAGTGAAGTACAGAAGAGTCTATACCCAGAAATGCCTGAATTATAGAACAGGACTACGCTAACTGATTCGTCCCTGCAGGCTGGGACTGTACATTTAAGGGCAGAAACAATACAGTAATACTGTAATAGCACACTTGATTTTTAACTGAACTGGTGAGTCATAGAGTCAAATTATGGGGGCTTAATGAGCAATTTTACTCTCATAATGAGGGAAAAGATCTTTGTTAAAATTGCATGATTATACATATGTTTAGTACTGAATTAGATTAAAGCTTGATATGAGGAAGAGCTTTGGAGCCGCAACTTCCATGTACACCATGATGCTTGAGATATTCAGCATGAGTGATTTCTTTGTATAGAGCAGGATTCTTATCAGACAGAAGTTCCTCTATTGGTCCATAATTCCGGTCTTTATTTCTGCCATTCGGATAGAAAAAACATGCTGCTGACAATCTGGGACCTTTCCAATTTGCTAGTACTCTATGTTCAGCACTCCTTAACAAATCATTGCTTATCAGCTACACAAAAAACAAAAAGGCACAATTAAGTGTGTAAGATTGCAAACTACGGAGTATCTTTTATTATGTACGATCAATTTCAAGGCTTCGTACTTTAACTCTGAACATGCATATAGGCCATCTGAAATTAATTGTAAGGTGAAAAGAATAAAGGCTTACCTGCAGCATATCACCTATTATAACAATAAGTGCTCCCTCCATTGGTGGCACATGAATCCACTGATCCTGATGCAAGACTTGAAGTCCATCAATGTCGCCTTGTAATAAAATTGTAAGAAAAAAAGGATCTGTATGTTCCGCTGTGCCTAGAGTCAAATGTGGCTCAGGGCAAGCTGGGTAATAGTGACCCACTACCTTTCGAGGTTCCATGCATTCCATTAGTTCAAGGAGGTCACCCTCGAGCCCTACAGCCTCAGAGAGCAACTTGCATAACCTCCCTTTTAGTTCAACAATGTGTTTGACATAATCAAACATAGGTTCCCTGCAGGAAAAGGGAATTCAACACAGTGATTATATACCTAAAATTAAAGGACAATCTGAAGGATTAAACTATAACATTGGAGAGGAACTGAAAACTGAAACCTGCAAATGAGAGGTAAGGCTTCAAAATCTTCTGTCATGTTCTCAAACTGACAGGCAATTGTGTCTTTCCAAACTGCAGTTTTATGAGCTGGTTGGATAGTCGCGTAATACCACACCTTCCTTGTGGAATCATGAGAATAGTAATCCTTTTTTAACTCATTTGATTGCTCGTGAAATCCACACACACTTTCCAGCATGCTCTTCATGACAGCAGAGGGGACTCCATGGTTGAAAACCTGAAACATGCCCCATGTCCTTGACGCTTGTAAGACTTCATTCACAATAGTCCTACGCCTTTTACCTCCATAGCCCTCGAGGTTTATAACTGGAACTTGATTCACGATACCATTAGAGCTCGTTTGCTCCAAATAGTTTACGCCTGCAGGTGACAGAAAGAATCTAGGGACCTTAACAATACCGGAATCTACAAGTCCTTTAACTCCAGCTTTCGTAGAAATAAATTCACTAAATTCGATCTCCAAATCATAATTCAACACATCTAATCCTACAGACTCTTTGCCGTTAGCATTACACTCCATTTAAGCAGTGAGTGCTTCAAAATGTTCAGAGTTTGTGTTGAACTATACAAGAAAATTACAGAATGCTCAAGTATCCTTTTTACTCAAACTTGAGCATATTCTCTATCAATATATTATTAATATAGTCGATAAAATGTTAATTACAGATGCTTCAAAGCATAAAGCAAATATGTTTTCGCGATTTTTTAGGAAGACGAGACAAATACATTATGTATGAAGATTTAGATTTTCCTGCACCAGATACTGTGTTTGTCCTTAGTAGGAGAAAATGCTAATTTAATCTTCCCCATGGTAGCAGTTACAACTTACAACAGATATAATTGTTTACTAATTAACTTTTGTATTTTCTAACAAAGCGTGCTGTCAACAAGTTTAATAATTGGTAAGAGTTTTACACTTCAAAACAAAAGCAAGAAAATGACTTACGGATTAAAAATTGAGCTGTTAGGCCTCGCTTACAGAGTTACTGATACATAGAATTAGATTTATGACCTCGACTAGAACATAATGTCACATTGATCTTGGCTCATACGTATCAAGAATTGTAACCTCGTAACGTTGTAAGTACGAGAAAACTGTAAAAACAATATAAGAAAACATAGATCTTCATGTATATTCTCTGTAGTCTGTATTGCCAAAATTGACCAGAAATAGAATCCGATATGTGAAATGAACTTTTTTTATAGTGAAGATTGTGACTATAACAGGCAAGTGTCACACTGTGACTATTTTATCAGGTCATTCGTCGTAGCTCATGCTGTTTGAGCAGCACATATCATATTTACTATACGGAGTACAATATGTG